GGCTTGTTGCCATACTTGCGGTGCGTGATGACTCGGTCAACTTCCTGATGTCCGTCCATAGAAGGCGGATCCTGTGATCGACGTCCGGGGAATTTGTCAGTTGGAGGTGGAATGTTGGCCACGAAGGAAGGACCGGCGGGGTCGTCTCCAACTTCGATGCATGGAAGACCCGATGCACTGTTAGGTGCGGTGGAATGTTGATCACGAAGGAAGGACCGGCGGGGTCGTCTCCAACGGCAGAAGTGACTTCCCATGGTCCGAACCATTTCGGAAGGAGTTTGCGCGAAACATCCTGCTCGAGCGCAAATTCCTCGGAGAGGACCCAAACAAGGTCTCCCTCGCGGAAAGGACATGGAAGTCGAGGTCGGTTAGCTTGCTGCTGCATGCGGACCTGAGCCTTTTGCATATTCACGCGGGCTTTGATCAGCAAGTCCCGATACTTCCTGACAAAAGCGGGAGAGCAAGGGATGTCTATGTCGGCAGCCTGTGGCAAAAGGAGATTAGCGAAGATCCGTGCTTTCTCTCCACCATGATGTAGCTCAAATGGTGTGACGCAGATCGCCGGGTGCACCCAAGTGTTGTAGGCGAACTCGATGTCGGGAAGCCGGTCAACCCAAGTGTTGTAGGCGAACTCGATGAGCGTACGCAACATCATCTGAGCGGTCTGGTGCGCTCGCTCCGTCTGACCATCCGTTTGCGGGTGCCTAGCCGAGCTCGGCTTCATTGTCGTGCCGGACTCAGTCATGAGAGAAGTCCAAAAGGCTGACATGAAGCGAGTGTCTCGGTCGCTCACTATGTCTTCCGGAACACCTTGGTTGGTAATCCAACCGGTGTGCAAGAGTCGTGCGAGCTCAGGTGCTGCAGCATGATACTTGCAMGGAAGRAAGYRAGCATAYTTGCTCAAACGGTCAACGACCGTGAGAATACCGTCATGGCCGTGGCGATCGCGGGGAAACGGGCCTGTCACGTCCATAGCAATGGAGAGGCGTGGTGCCCGAGGAATCGGCAACGGTTTCAGTTCGCCGAAGGGGACTCGAGATTGCCCCTTGTTACGGTGGCAAACTGCACGTGACTCAATGTACCTCGTGACGTCATGAAGGACGTCTGGCCAGTGAAAACGCTGGCGGAGGCGTACGAGTGTGCGGTTCACGCCAAGGTGTGCCGAAAGTCGTGCATCGTGGAATTCGCCGAGAAGACGAGTCCGCAAGATACGATCTTGGGGCACAACTAACAAGTCCTTTCCTCTCGTGTGAAGGAGAAGGAACCCGTCGGAAATCCGATAATGGCTAGCCGGCGGGTGATCCGATGAAAGCTCTGCGTAAAGCGTAGAGTAAGTCGGATCGGACTTGTAGCCTTTGACGAAATGC